CCATCAGTTGACCATTGCTAAATCTGAAGTTTATAAGATTCGTCTTCTGCAGTAAATTCGTAAGTTTCAATTACGTAGCGTGCAACGGTTTTTTTTAAATCTCATTTATCTTGAATTATCTTATCATATCATTAACAAAATTTAAGCAAAGTTGAAATTTTTAGATTTCAGTCAAAAAATTTGAAATTTTATGAAAAATTTAGAAGGAAAATTAAAATCCTTATTTTTTTTAGATACAACTTTATTTCTTATGAAATTTACATGAATGATGACAATTTGTTGTATTCAGCAATGAACTTATAGCGGCTTTCAAAAAGGAAAGAATGCTTTTTCAAACATATTCTTGTCTCTGACAATATAACAATTGAAAAAAAGAAAGAGAGAAAGTTGCTTGTTATTAACTGATTTCCAGTACCAGAGAGAATTAGCGAGTGGAAAAATAATGGTTAACAGATTGATGGACGAGAAGAAAGGTAAATAATAAAACTTCGTTAAATGTGCTTTAGTGACAAGTTCCAAATAATGGTTTCAAATTATTTTATTTAGTGTAACACCAAGCACATTGACCATAACCCTTTAGCCTTTGCAAATAATAGAAATAGTACTGGAAATGTAAGTTTAAAGTTAAAGGATAATAATTGACTACGATGCAAATTACAAGGTCAGATGCAAAGTTAAATTTTATCAACGCTAAGCATGACTAATTACAAGAGCAGTTGATGATGTATGCGTAAGTATTTAACACGAAATTGATTTCGAAAGAAGAAAAATGATAATAAAGATTGATATTATTCTTGATAATTAGATAAGAGAAAATGATGCAATTTAATTTATAAATGTTATAAAAATTTTGGATTTTAATGCAAAGGAAGTGAACAAAATTTAATTTTTGAAATATTTGAGGAGTTCGTGAAGATACAAATTTATTTCCTGTTTTTCCCTATTTTGCAATTTTATCCTTTCTGTGACTGTGCAATGTTACATTGGCAAATTACAAGTGCATATTTTATATATCAATTTTTTAATATAAGAGGTACTGCAACTGCATAATAAACAAGGCAAGCTTAACCGTTAATATTTCATGAACCTTTAACCTTTTTATTAATTTAAATAATGTTACAGTAAATTGAAATATCCTAAAATTTCTACAGTAATCGTCAAAAATTTGTTAGCTCTTTAAAAGCAAAACAATAACAGCGAATTTAATATGGATATATCCAAAATATGTTATTCCGGTATTATTATTCCGATATTATAGAGTTGTTACGAAAGTTGATAACTGATTCTATCCGGTATGGATGATGTTGTCACTAAGGAATGCATTACACCGAATGTTTGGATATTTTTGGTACTTTGGCATAACAAAACTTTTGGTTGTAAAATTATGATTATGAAAGTTATTTTACAAATAAAGATGGAACAATTGTTAAATTTAGCTATCTAAAAGCAATGCAAACAACTTGTAAATCACTTATCACTAAAAAAAAAAAATCAGAAATTACGATTAAAATATACAAAGGAGCAAATTTATTTTCCTCTTTATGAATGTACCCGTTTCAAAAGGAAAAATGGTTCATAATAATTGAACCGGTTCGATTCGATTCGAGAATTTCATCGATTTTATCAAATTAACCAAACCTTGGCTTTATGTATGAATCCATTTTACGGATAATATAATCCAATTCTTTGTTCATAAATTTATCCCTGTAAATGTTTTATTTCAATTAGTACAAACAAAAGCCAATTCGGAACATTTTAAAAGCCTTTAAATAAAGACACTCTAAAATTAATTAGAAAAATTCAAACAGATTAAGGAATAAATTAAACTGAAACAAATTTGAAATAAATTTTTCTGACGATAAAATTGCATACTCTAAAAAGTTATGAATGCTTATACCGATGGCTTTTTCGAAAAGCTGTTCTCCATTTCTGAAGCATTTGCCTATGAAGAATATCAATTTTTCCGCCTTTCCGAATTCGATATCGGGCTCTGAATCGCAAATTAACTGAATCAGTTTATAATTATGAAAGCCAATTCAAATGAAGTAATTAAATTTAGGAGATAATTTGTTAAGTTTCAGTCCTTCATCTTTTTGATAAAATAACTGAGATGGATTGCTCTAAATTTTCAAAATTTTCATTTTTAATAAAAATTTTTCCTGTATGAATCAAATTATTTGAAGGAGTATAAAAGAGTATAAAAGTTCTTATTTCCAACATCACATTTCAGATAGTACTTTAGTTTCATTCAATTTCATGCACTTACTTCGGACAGTATTAATTAGATTCTGGTTTTAAGAAGGCGCTTACTTCGTTTTCAAAAGTTTTAATGGAATTTTTAATAGTTTTTTGAGGAGTTAGCAAGAAATTTGCAAAACTTCGACTTACTTTCCCGGCAATTTACTGGACACCAGTAGAAACATAAAGAAAAGAATGAACAGTTCGTGACGCATGTTACTACAATAAATTATAGTCTACACTGAAATTTATTAAAATTAGTAAAAATTGTGTCAAATAATTTTATTTCAAGTTTGATCATAATCGAAACTGTTCCAACTTAAATCATTATCCATATTTTGCAACAATTTTTTTGAAGTATGGAAGTAATAATTTTATTGTTAACCGTTTCGATTTCTATTTTTTCTGTATAAAACAGAAGTTCTGAAATTGAAAAGAGCAAAAAAGCCAAGCCTGAAGGAAGCAAAAAGAAAAGAGAGAAATTATTTGTTTCAGTCAGCT